GTCTGGAGAAATTTGATTCCATAATATCGCTCCAGTTCTCGAAAAAGAGCGTTTGAAAATTTCCGACTTAACTTCTTTCCGAAGATAATTCCCTTTTGTTTGGTTTTACTTACGTTTTGATGGACATAAATACTTTGTAGAACATCAAAACGGCTCATGGAATTCAATATACTGATCAAAAAATTTGAAGTTTGATCAAATATGCATCCATTCAATACTTTTTCTTTGGCAGGTGGCAAGAATTCCACTGATAGCATGCCACTCCATTGAGCTGCTGAGCCCTGCCAAGGCTATCTTTGGTTAAGCTTTAAGCCTTTCTTTGTATTAAGCTAGACCTTTTAAAAAATATTTTTAAAAGGTCTAGTAACGACTGGAACAAACAAATTACATTTGTGGGTTTCATTAGGCAAACATAATTTACTTAAATTTTTTTAAATATCTTGACCGGTCAGAAACGAGACGTGACCAAGCTAAAATCACTTTGGCCCGTCAACATGACCGGCCACGGTCCGAAAATTATTTTGAGCCCTGTACATATTTAATTGATAATTAATTATTGGTTTAATATTAATATAATGTTGACACATGTAAAAGCACTTCAAAAAGACAATAGTGAAAAAGCTGTACAGTTTTTAGTTAAGAGAACATTTTCGCAACAGAATGAAATATGCAAAGCTTGAATACCCACCCCAAGGGAGGTCACTGGTCAGGACATTTTGTAGGGAAAGGGTAGTTTCAAGAGGAAAAGTTTTTGAAAGAAAAAAAAACAAAAAACAAAAAACATAATGAACCTACAAGTAACTGGAATGGTTTTCCAGAGGTTAATGTCTTGAAATGGCTTACAGTCTTTATTCATGGTCTTGGCCCTTGTGCAAGACCTTGAGCTTCAATAAGTACTTGTATTTCTTGGCATAATTTGGACACCTAGCCAGATCATAACATAATTATTATAATGAAGTAATTGGTGGATGTCTTTTTTGGTCAGTTGGTTTGCAGGTCACTTGGGAGAGATTGCAACAGCTGGGAGACATACCTTGTGCAAGAGATGGACACACTTTAAGGTTTGCTTAATATCTCACCTCAGTTCAAATTGTACAATATTTAATCAAATTACTGGCAATCAATGCAGCCAAATGTCTTTTGTAAAGCAATCAAAATACAATTCAAAAAATAAATAAATCAGAATTATATTGGTGCAAAATGCAATTACATCATATTTATATTCATTACCATACCATGCCATAGTAAATACAGCTGATCAGAATACAGGAAAGCCATGCTTGTATAATCGATGGTATTGCACCCAACCTTCCCATCATGTGCTGCCCAGTGTATGTCCCATTGATTGTGTTGCCACTGGATTTTCTACAGTGTCTATGGCGTGGCATAAAATAGTTAATATGCAATGCTTTCTAGTGGTACACCACAAAGATACCTCTTGTCACTAGTATTTTCTTGGTATACGAACTTGCGTAAAGACTTGCAAGTGTGACTGTATTTAACAAGAAAATACAAGTGATTCGTAGGATGTAGCACTCAAAAGGGTGCATTATGACTGAATGTAATCATGTGTACATATATAATTGACGCTGTACAGGGAACTTAGTTGTGATACATGTATAGTAAAGGAGCTTTCAATCCATGCAAGCTGTTACTTCTTTGTACTTAAACAGTTATTTTCCATCTGATGAGTGAATGTTTTGTGTTCTTTACAGTGCTGTTGGTAGTGTACTATATCTATTCGGTGGTTCAAATTATCCTGAATCTGAGGAGTGCTTAGATGGATTGTATGCATATGACATCGGTAAGACCTATGCCCCACCGGGGGCTATGAGGAATGATGATGACGATGATGATGACATGAAACACGTTCCAGCTTTCCAACCCTATGGTCAAAACATTATTAATATTTATTCTGGTTGCGGTACTTTGTTCCCCTGTGGAGTAACCAGGGTATCTCTAGTAATCTTCTATTCATCTGTTGATTCTTGGTTTGACAGTACTCCCTGTTGCTTAAACCACACAGCCTCATGTGGCTTTGAGGTTTTGTTAACCTGAACTGAGCTTATGTAAAGGCGATATAAGATCCCTACCTGTAGTCATGTAGTTCACTGTGTTAGAATTTCTTCCTAGGATTGTATTGTTAAGTTCCTGTGAGCAGGATTTCACAAGACATCTTACAAGACCCTTTACATGCAGTACATTCTTCAGGAGACTGTATGTTAATGCACTATTCCTAATCAGGATAATAATATTCTAAGGGATCCCAATTTGTTTATCTATGCGTGACATCCTACAAGTTGTTAACGCAATGCAACCGTCTGTGTAAATATTGTCTACAAGGGTGTTGTTATTAAACAAAGGAACAAACAAACAAACAAACAAACAGTTTCTGCTAAACTGCTTATTACAGTCTGTGATGACACTTGAACTGCGAATGCTAGAGACTTTTTTTGCATATTTTGTTAGTGACTAAAAAAGGAAGGCACTTAATAAGTATATCGTGAGTATTTGGCATGTTCGCACTGTAAAAATGCTTGAGTCTTATACATTGTACATGTATGAAGAGCCTTCATTCATTTCTCCAAAAATGAGCAAAAAATAATAGTAAGTGTTCACGGTTAGACTGTGCCCTGACTGTCATTGAATACTTACACGTACAAATGTAGTATCCTTTTACACTCAGTGTTAGTGTTTGTATTTAGAAAATAATTGGGTATTGGTTTTAATATACATATATAGCTTCAATTTCTGGCCTTTGTCTGGCAACTTTTAGGAACACTATCATGGGAACTGTGTCCAACTCAAGGTCGTCAACCCAAAGCATTGGGTCACACAACAGCTGTAGTGGGAGATACATTGTACATATTTGGAGGAATTTACCGTGGAAATGCCACCAATGCTCTTTATATGCTTAATACAGGTACAAATAAACATTAACCAGTTGAAAATATAATTTACGTTTACACTATCTAATATTGTGATTAACATAAGCATGGTCAAGATTTGACATGTGTCTTACCAATCTGTGAGGACATCTTTAGGTGTGAATTATTTAAATGTTTTATTTGAAAATTTTTCATTTTGAGTCTCAAGAGTAAACAGCGAGATGTCACCCTTCTCAGGAGCTAGTAGTCCATTTTGTAAACTGATCTAGCTAGCTGTCATTAATTTTGTACACTTCATCCCTTGCATGAAAGTGTGTCAGGCTTTTAAAAAACTCGAAATACTTTTACTTTGACACATCTCTGCGTGTCGTGAAACAGTAACCTAGGAAGTGCTGATTGATATACACTGTAGGACGGTTTGTTTGGTTGCATGTGATAATTTTGAAGGTGAGTAATTCAGTGAAAGCAACATCTATGGTTTTGAGTTTGAAGCTTTGCACTTGCTAAAGAAAGCCATTTCAATTATTTTATAAAATGTAACACATTTAAATTTACATATGTAAACCAGTCTTAGCTATTATACATTTATATGTTGTATTTTTTTAATTTCAATTTTCTTTCGTTTAAAGTTATTTTTCTCGGTAAATTAGCATAATCTTGCTGGAGGTCTAATCAGCCTCATCAAACTGATTTGAAATAAAGTTATCGATCTATCTATGTGACACATGTTTGGATTCTTCATTTTATTGTCATAACGGTAATATATAGTTTGCTGGAGTTTTACCAAAAATAGTGCTCGAATGAATCAAAGATTTCCTGGAAGGCACACCAAAAGGTTATCAGTGACCTTAATGAAATCCCTGCCATGGCTTCGTAATGTGAATCATTTATTGTAAGTTCTTTTTTGTTGCAGGCAATTTAACCTGGACACCTCTAAAGGCCTCTGGTAATCCTCCTTCACCCAGGTAACATAACACTGAACTTAACTTTCAAATCAATCTTGTCAGCTGCCTAGTAGGCTTTCTTTTTTACGTAATATTTTTATGTAATATTTTTTAAGTGACACCTTTTAGTTTCACAGGTTTTTAGTTTAACGGAATTTGCTGCTTTGGCAGCTTGCTGGGTTATTGAACATTTGATATGTGCGTAGGAGACATGTTGGCTTAATGGTAAGAGTTCTGGATTCCAGACCAAGGGATACGGCTTCAAGCCCGTACCAGGATCACTGCATTGTGTTGATGTATTGTTTCAGATGTGATCATGCCTGTACAGTAGCTGGTGAAAAGTTCTACATTATGGGAGGAAGTGGAGGAGAGAAGCTGTGGTATAATGATGTGCATGTCTTTGATACAGGTGTGACATTTTGTTAATATGTAATTGTTAATAGGGATAATTTTACTTAAATTTATTATTTGGTGTTTTGAAATAATCAACATGTGGATCCTCTGCACGCATTGCATGCCTGTAATAATAATAACTGATAAAGTAATACCTATTGTTATTACTTATCAGGGCCGTAGCCAGTATGAGGTAAACCGAGGCACTTGCCTTGGTCTTTTTTTTCAGTTTTGTTTTCTTGGTTTTGGAGGAGGAAAGTAAAACATTGCTAAATACCTAGGAAGAGAATATAACGATTGACAAAATTAATTGCCTCAGTCATAATGTTTTTTTCCAGCTATGGCCCTGTTTATTTTAAATTGGGGTTTATGGCTTGTTTTCAAAATTTATTTTGCTCTTAAGAATTAGTTGAAATTTATATACCTCACCATATAGTCTACTGGACTTTTTTGCATGGTCTCTGTAAGTCTGCTTCAGAGTTCAGAAAACTTGTTATCAATGTTGTACATTATTATCTCTACACTGTATTATAACAATGCTACAGTGTAGCAAAATAGTTTTGCTACTAGCATGGCTCTAGTTACCACATTTTAAGCATGGTTACAAGTATGCAAAGGCTTATTGTTTTGTGTATTCTTGCTTTCCATTGTTTTCATGCTGCAGTGACTCTGCGATGGGAAGCTGTGAATGTTCAAGGTCATCGACCACATGCCAGGAGCCTACACACGCTATGTGCACACCACAGTAAGGTACATTGTAGACTTCAACATGATTACCATGATTATTTCAATTGCTACATTTGTTTATCACATACTTATCAAGGTTGTGCATGACAGCAGTTTTCTCTTTAATGTCGTAAAACCAAAACCAGCATAATCATTCAGTGAGTAGTCAATGAAACATGACACAGATGATGCAGTGAGCCAATCACAACTCAAAGTATCTGTAGCTAGTAGCAAAGTAGCTTAAGTAATACGCACATGTGGCTGATGTAAAGTGTGCGAAAACGCATGTGAGTGAGTCACGATTGGTTTTGGTTTTACTTCTGATTGGATGAAAATGCACGCACATGGCATGTTTTTTAATCCAATTGTGTAGTGTAGTTAATGCAAAACCAATTACTTTTCAGCACTCAAATGCAAACTGCTCTTTATTTGTGCTTCAGTTGCTGACATTTTTGTCGATCTTGCATTTTTAGGATATCTACTTATTTGGTGGATCAAATGATGTAGCCAAAGTTACAACACCATTTGATGATGTGTACAAGTTTAGTTTGTGTAAGTTGTTGTTATAACTAATTTCAAGAAATTAAAAATGTTTTTTTTATTATTGTCGTTATTTTCATAATGTTAAACTGCAGCCACTTAATTTTGGAATTGGGATATATTAAACTGTACAATGTACTTTTTACCAGTTGACAAATCACTAGCTATAATCGACTAACTAAGCAACGAGTATCAGAAGTACTATATTTTCCGCTTTTTAAATGTATTTAACATTTTTATTGGCTTAACACACATTTCTTTTCTTCCAGCAAAATTAAAATGGAAGAAGCTTCAGTGTTCTGGCACTGGACCTGAGAGGAGACTGGGTCATAGTGCTGTGTTAGTTTATGGACAGGTAATGTTTTGTCTTGGAAGAATAACAGGTGGGACGGGGG